GAGACGGAGGCTTTTGTTAGTCGCTGAGAGATCTTCCAGGGGTTCTGTCTGCTTTTGAGTTTTTTTCAAGATGCTGGGCTGTTTGAGAAATGGAGAGACAGTCACACCTTCTCCTCAGTTCAGGGGTGATTTTGCTAACTTATTTTGGGCCATTCTCTCTCTCTCCTCTCTTTCTCCTCTCTCTTTCTCTCTGTCAGCCCAACCCACCTCACAGGGTTGTTGTGGTGAGGAAAACTGGAGGAGGAAGGAACATTCAATATTTCACTTCCTCAAATTATTTATAAAAATAAAGGTGGGATTAAAAACCTAATAAATAAAAAAATAAAAAGAAATAGTTCAGGGGAGTTCTTTGGGAAAGAACTTTGACAGGATACCGGAGCTTCTAGCTTTGATTCTAATTAATGTACAACAGTCACTTTTAATTTTTTTTATTTGTTTCCAAGTTAAAATAACAAAATAAAGAAAAAGAAGAAGAAACGAACTAACAACCATCAGAGGCTAATAATACAAATAAAAAAACTTCATGCACAAATAAAAGGATAACGAATAGAGAATATATCATCCACACTGATATTAAACATAGAAAATCCAGCCTGGCTGAATGCTGATAAATATATCAAAATTATCCTATGTGTTCTCCTCTCCTTACAAAACATGTGTACTAATAGTTATAAATTTCCCCATCTATATTTGATACAAATACTATGTCACATAAAAATATCTGATGTGGAAATTTATTTATCTAGCAATCCAATGAACACAATCTCTGTTTGCTATATATTTAAAAAAGCAGTCAACAGATAACCTCAAAGGTAAAAACTAATCTTCTAAACTCTCCATTTCCCCCCATTTGTAATGACTCTCTAATCCCTTGTATCAGGGTAGAGTCGGGGTAACTGAATGGAGCTGAGCATTTACTGTCTGGATGCCCTTTCTGACACCTATGTGGAGGTCATAGCAGATATTTTCTCTTTGTGCGCATCTGTCGCCACCTAGGATCAAACTCACAGCCTCCTGATTGTGAAGTGAGAGGCTCCACCTCTAGGCCACCACACTGCTCTTCCAAGCCTTCTGTTAACCATCTGCTATTATTATTCAACACACATAAAGTCTACAAATGGCTTCCAGCCTCTTATAAGCTTATCTAATCCATTGTCTCTAATCAACGCAGTTAAATTCATTGAGACTCTAGAAAAAGTGCAGAGAAGAGCAACCAGGATGATTAGGGGACTGGAGACTAAAACATGAAGAATGGTTGCAGGAACTGGGCAGGAAGAGAAGGACCAAGAGAGACAGGATAGCAGTCTTCCAATATTTGAGGGGCTGCCAGAGAGGAGGGGGGTCAACCTGTTTTACAAAGCACTTGTAGTATAGACAAGGAACAATGGATGGAAACAGAACAAGGAGAGATTCAGCGTAGAAATAAGGAGAAATTTTCTGACAGGGAAAACAATCAATCAATGGAATAGCTTGCCTTCAGAAGTTGTGGGAGTTTCATCACTTGAGAAAAGACTGGACTGCCATTTGTCAGAAATGGTGTAGGGTCTCCTGCTTGGGTGGGGGTTGGACCAGCTGACCTATAAGGTCCCTTCCAACTCTGTAACCTTAATCTGTAAAATTTGCCATCTTGGCCAGTTCAATCAGTTTTAAAGTCCACTCTTCAAAAATTGGCGTCCCCCTTTCCTTCCAGGGCTAATGTACAATAGTCACTTTTGACAATAACTGCCATCAAAAGGAGGTGTCAGCATCTTAGAAGCAGGACTTGATATGTAATGGATTGTAGTTTTAACAAACGTGCAACAACAACGGAAGTATATCTGGTCAAGGAAGTATCCTTTTAGGTTAACCTCTCCAAATCATTGAGCCAGATCAGTTTCTATCTTTGTGGTCACCATGGCTAGCAAACTGGGATATTCTGAAGCCAATGTTTTGGCTCCTAAGTCTTACAGATATTCCTTAATGGATATTATTGTTAGCCGGCTGACCCCTAAGACCTTATGGAGGTGTGTACCTTTGCCATTGTAGATAGTGAGATTCAGTCCCAGGTGTGGAGGTTACTATTGAAGCAGGTATGACCACTTCTTTAGTGTAGTGCTCAACCCCACTTTTCTAATCTCGTCCCCTATATAAATAAATAGTAAATAAAACTATTTTGCAGTCACTTTTCTTCGGATCCAGGTATTCTGAACCTGATCTAGCCAGTGCTGCTCTCCAGAATAACCAACAATGCTGGACATGTTGACACATGCCATGGTCATCCAGCCAATGAGATCTGGAGGAGCAAGTGATGTCACAAACAATGGCTTGGACCTGAAGTTTGGGAGAAATCAATCCTCTGGTTGCCTTCACATGAATTTTAGTAGCAAACCAGTAAGAACTTTTTGCAAGTGAGCCATGAATTAGCTTCAACCATCTAAATCATTTTATCTAAACTTTGGCTTAATAGAGCCATTCTTAAAATCAGCAGACAGCTAACACCTATTTTAATAGTTACCCAAATATGCTAAAGACAGGGGTGGGATTCTACAGGTTCACACCTATTCGCTAGAACTGGTTGTTAACATTCTAAGCAGTTCGGAGAACTGGTTGTTAGAAGAAATTACTGGCCTAATCCTGTAAGGAAGGCAGGAAGGAAACATTCTGGTGTTGCTTACAGAAACTGCCTCTCCGTTAACCCTTATTACATTCTTGGCAGGACTAGACTTCCTGTCTCTGAAACTTCTCTGGAGTTTTTCCCCCCCTCCTTTGCTGGTACTTTGCTTGTGTGGAATGACCATTCAAAGTTACAATGGCACTGAAAAAAGTGACTTATGACCATTTTTCACACTTACGACCATTGCAGCATCCTCACTGTCATGAGGGGCCAGGCGAGGAGAAGAGCCCCTTGACATAAGTGATGTCGAGTTGGCCATGCCCAACCAGTCACAGGACCACCAAGATATGTCCACCCGGTCACATGACCACCAAGTCACACCCATCACCTAAGCCACGCCCACAGAACTGTTGTTAAAAAAATTGAATTCCACCCCTGGCTAAAGAGCTGAGTCTATGGCCATGATGGCGAACCTATGGCATATGTACTGGAAGTGGCACGCAGAGCCATCTCTCTGGGCACACCACCCTCGCCCGTTGCTCTTCCAGTTCCAGCATGTGCACGCGCATATGCACCAGCCAGCTGGTCTTTGCATGTGTGGGAGCACCAGAAACTGGAAGAGCAGCTCCCTGGTGTGCATGTACATGCATGCACACTGGCCAGCTGGTCTTCGCACGTGCATGCGTGCCAGAAACCGGAAGACCAAGTGGCCGGTATGCATGCACGTGCCAGAAACCAGGATCTCAGCTTCCTTGGGCGCGCATGCATGCTAGGGAGCTGCTCTTCCGGTTTCCGGTGCTCCCCCCTCACACACACACGTGCTCCCGTTTTGGCACTGCATTCAGTGCCAAAAAGGTTCACCAACACTGGTCTATGGAGATTCTCAGTCATCCAAGTCATGGTTATCCCAAAGGTGGTTTCCCCCCACTTTTTTCAAGAGGCAACTGAACCCCCCAAAAAGCCCCAAACTGAGAAGCTGGTGGGAACACTTCAAGGTGGTCAGTTAGAGTTGCTCTAATTATTAGAGTATTTAAGAATTGCTGAGTTGCTCTTCTCTGCACTTTTTCCAAAGTCAGTGAGACTTTGGAAAAAGTGCAAAGAAGAGCAATTAAGATGATTAAAGGCCCGGAGACCACAACATATGAAGAATGGTTGCAGGAACTGCAAGCAAGCATGGCTAGTCTAGGGAAGAAAAGGATCAGGGGGGACATAATAGCAGTCTTCCAATATTTGAGGGGCTGCCACAGAGAGGAGGGGGTTCAACCTATTTTCCAAAGCACCTGAAGGCCAGATAAGGAATAATGGATGGAAACAGAACAAGGAGAGATTCAACCTAGAAACAAGGAGATATTTTCTGACAGTGAATCAACCAATCAGTGAATCAACCAATGGAACAGCTTTGTCTTCGGAAGTTGTGGGAGCCTCATCACTTGAGACTTTCAAGAAGAGATTGGGCTCCATTTGTCAGAAATGGTGTAGGGTGTCCCGCTTGGGCGGGAGGTTGGACTTGATGACCTACAAGGTCCCTTCCAACTCTGATTTTCTTTTGTTATCTGGTACTGGGCTCAACTAGTCTAGAAAAAATAAGGATTAGGAGGGACATGATAGCAGTATTCCAGTATTTGAGGGGCTGCCACAAAGCAGAGGGGGTCAACTTATTTTCCAAAACACCAGAAGTCAGGACAAGAAACAAGGGATGGAAACTAATAAAGGAGAGAAGCAACCTCAAATTAAGGAGAAACTTCCTAAAAGTGAGAACAATTAACCAGTGGAACAGTTTGCCTCCAGAAGTTGTGGATGTTTCATCCCTGGAGGCTTTCGAGAAGAAACTGGACCACATCATGTCTGAAATGGTGTAAGGTCTTCTATTTGAGCAGGAGGTTGGACTAGTAGACCTCCAGGGTCCCTTCCAGCTCTATTCTGAATTGAATTGAACTGAACTGAGTTAAAGGCCGACCCGCTGCATTCACACGACGGGAGGAAGAAGTGTAGTCTGCGGGCATTCCTGCAGGAGAGGCCGACTATGCATTTATTCAGGGAATACTTAAGTTAAGTTAAAGGTTAAGAGTTAACCTTTAAGGTGGTGTGGACGTGCCTGCGTGTACTGTGCAAACCCAATGCCCTGGGCTGGCTTCGAGATCCATTCCGCAAGCGAATAACGCCCTTCTGCACGGAGGCGAAACGGGGTCGCAGGCGGGAAGGCAGTCTCGGCTAAGGCTGGGCCGGGCCGGGCCGGATCGCAAAGCCCACCGTCCACAGCCAACGCGCAAGCGACACCGGCATGGCCGGAACGGTTTCGGAAGGACCAAAGGGGAGGGGCGGGAAGGGGGAGGAGGGCGGATCGGAGGGGGCGGAGCTTCATGGTCCCCGCCTCGGAATTCCTCCCCCCACCCCCGGAAGAGATGACGTCACTCGTTTCACCGAAGGCTCACATGGCCGCGGCTGCGATGGAGGAAGAAGAGGAGGAGGAGGAAGCATGGTTGATGGACTCCCTGAGGCTGTGAGTCGCCTTCCCTGGCCCGGGGGAGAATGCAGCTTCCATCCTCCCCAGCCAATTGCCCTCCCCCCGACCTGTCCCAGCATGATGGGAGTTCCACCTCGAAGCGGCTGGAGCGGCTTTTGCAACCCTTTGCGTCTTTGCCTAGGAGGGAGGGGCTCTTTGGGGGGGGGGGGTACGAAGCCCCTCCCAGCTTGCCCCTCCTGCTTCTCCTCCTCCCCCCACCCCGACTTCGGTCCCTCATTTTAGCCAAGCGGGGTTTTGTTTTCCAAACTCAAGCAGTCCTGGATCCCTTTGCCATCCTTTCCATGGGCAGTGCCCCCTTGAGGCTGATGGGATAGCGTGGATGGGGTTCGGTGAGGGAGGGAATGTCTCTTTCTGGTTTTGCCGTTGCATTAATCATTTGCTAAATATCGATGGAGATTTTCAGTCGTCCAAGCCAGGGGTCTCCAACCTTAGCAATTTGAAGACTTGT